GTACTTGCACGGGGAGATTGTGAGGATTTAATGAGTTAGTAATACCAACAAACAAAAAACTTGGAACAGTGCCTTGTGCATAGACAATCTATGCACAATAATAATAATAACAATAGCTATTATTAGGATTAAAAATTTGGCTGGGCGCAGTGGGTCACACCTGGTAATCCCAGCACTTTGGGAGGCCGAGGTGGGCAGATCAGGAGGTCTGGAGATTGAGACCATTCTGGTCAACATGGTGAAACCCCGTCTCTACTAAAAATACAACAATTAGCTGGGCATGGTCACACGTGCCTACAATTCTAGCTACTCAGGAGGCTGAGGCAGGAGAATCGCTTGAACCAGGGAGTTGGAGGTTGCAGTGAGCCAAGATCGTGCCACTGCACTCCAGCCTGGCAAGAGAGTAAGAGTGCCGAGCCCGGTGGCTCAAGCCTGTAATCCCAGCACTTTGGGAGGCCGAGGCGGGTGGATCACAAGGTCAAGAGATCGAGACCATCCTGGTCAACATGGTGAAACCCCGTCTCTACTAAAAATACAAAAAATTAGCGGGGCATGGTGGTGCGTGCTGTAATCCCAGCTACTCAGGAGGCTGAGGCAAGAGAATTGCCTGAACCCAGGAGGCGGAGGTTGCGGTGAGCCGAGATCGCGCCATTGCACTCCAGCCTGGGTAACAAGAGTGAAACTCCATCTCAAAAAAAAAAAAAAAAAAAAAAAAAAGAGAGTAAGACTCTGTCTCCAAGGCCCCATTTGTTCATTTTAAAAGGTGACTGCTGGCCAGGCATGGTGGCTCATGTCTGTAATCCCAGCAATTTGGGAGGCTGAGGTGGGTGGATCACCTGAGGTCAGGCATTCTAGACTAGCCTGGCCAACATGGTAAAACCTCGTCTTTAGTAAAAATACAAAAATTAGCCGGGCATTGTGTCAGGTGCCTGTAGTCTCACCTACTCAGGAGGCTGAGGCAGGAGAATCACTTGAACCCAGGAGGCGGAGGCTGCACTGAGCTGAGATTGTGCCACTGCACTCCAGCCTGGCTGACAGAGCAAGACTGTTGAAAGAAAAGAAAAAAGAAAGAGAAAGGGAAGGAAGGGAGGGAGGGAAGGAAGGAAAAAAAAGACAAGATGATTGCTACAGCAACCACTTCCTGTGCCTTCTGAGACTTGGCTTGAAAACCTACTTCTAAGCCTGTTCCTCCCTGAGCTAGGTTTGTATTTGGAACCGCGGTGTGAGAACCGCCAGAGCCCAGCTGGCATCACAGTTCTGTTATCTGTGGTCAAGCTAGATCGTCTGTAGGAGACTCGCCCACAGGACTTCTTTTCCAGAATGCCCACCTGCCAACATCATAGTTTACCAAGCGTTGCACTCCAAGCATTTCTCACTGTAGCTTTTTTTAGTCTTCTGGGGTACCAGAGCCACCAGGGCCATCTTAACCTGACACTGCTTTCTGAGTGGGTTCTCTCGCCTTATCTATCCCCACAGGGAGCCAGGGGAGCATTTATGTGTTTGGAGACAGCGTCTCACCCTGTCACCCAGGCTGGAGTGCAGTGGTGTGGTTATAGCTCACTGCAGCCTCAAACTCCCAGGCTCAATTAATCTTCCCGCTTCAGTCTCCCCAGTAGCTGGGACTACAGGTGCTCACCACCATACCTGGCTAAATTTTTAAAATTATTTTGTAGAAACAGGGTCTTAATATTGTGGAAAGTAAAAAGTTCCTCCTCAAAGTTTTCCTTCTTGTTAAAGAATGATAATAAATGTTAGAAATAATAGTTTCTTTCAAAAACTGATTTTCTTCAAAGCCTTCTTGCTTTTCGCTAATAACTCTATGTTAAGCCCTATCCTGTGTAGCTGTTAGACATAAGGGAATAAGTACATTCTATGTCCTTGTACTTTAACCAAGATATCTGTGCTAGACATGCACACAGGCACGCGGTAAATTGAATCCTTGTACTTTAACCAAGATATCTGTGCTAGACGTGCTCACAGGCATGTCCCAGCTTGCAGCCTATGCCCCTTCCTTACTTGGGAATGTTAGTACGTTTCTAAGTTCTTTAGCAAGCAACTTCCTTTTTTTCCTTTGTTCTCCATTGCCTTTGCCTATTTAGAAAAGTTTTAAATTGTTAGCCAATTGGATTCAGTTTAGATTGTGAGGTCTGGCTCCAACCAACAGAGACGGGACACAGCAGTAAGGACCCGATGCCTAAGGAATAAATATGCCTGCCTTTCCTTTGTTCATTGTGCTTTTGTGGCAAGATTGCTGATGGACAGCATCCTTTCTGCAGAAAGTGAAATTGCCTTTCTGAGAAAACATTTTGTCTGAATGTTAATTTTTCCTTGCAGTACCGAGGAACAAGTATTTTATTTTATTTTATTTATTTATTTATTTATTTATTTATTTATTTTTGAGATGGAGTTTCGCTCTTGTTACCCAGGCTGGAGTGCAATGGCGTGATCTCGGCTCACCGCAACCTCCGCCTCCTGGGTTCAGGCAATTCTCCTGCCTCAGCCTCCTGAGTAGCTGGGATTACAGGCACGCGCCACCATGCCCAGCTAATGTTTTGTATCTTTTAGTAGAGACGGGGTTTCACCATGTTGACCAGGATGGTCTCGATCTCTCAACCTTGTGATCCACCCGCCTCGGCCTCCCAAAGTGCTGGGATTACAGGCTTGAGCCACCGTGCCCGACCGGAACAAGTATTTTTATTTATGTTGCCCAGGCTGGTCTTGAACTCCTGTGCTCAAGCAGTCCTCTCACCTTGGCCTCCCAAAGTGTTGGGATTACAAACTTGAACCACTACACCTGACCAGGGTTGCAGTGTTAATCAGGGTTCTAGGGCTGTCAGGAGTCCTGATCTAATGACAGTGTTCTGGACTAGACTCTTTTTTTTTTTTTTTTTTTTTTTTTTGAGACAGAGTCTCACTCTGTTGCCAGGTGCCAGGCTGGAGTGCAGTGGTGCAATCTCAGCTCACTGCAACCTCTGCTTCCCAGGATCAAACAGTTCTCCTCCCTCAGCCTCCTGAGTAGCTGGGATGCGCACCACCATGCCCAGTTAATTAAAAAAAATATTTTAGTAGAGGCCAGGCGCAGTGGCTCAAGCCTGTAATCCCAGCACTTTGGGAGGCCGAGGCGGGTGGATCACGAGGTCAAGAGATCGAGACCATCCTGGTCAGCATGGTGAAACCCCGTCTCTACTAAAAATACAAAACATTAGCTGAACATGGTGGCGTGTGCCTGTAATCCCAGCTACTCAGGAGGCTCAGGCAGGAGAATTGCCTGAACCCAGGAGGCAGAGGTTGCAGTGAGCCAAGATTGCGCCACTGCACTCCAGCCCGGGTAACAAGAGTGAAACTTCATCTCAAAAAAAAAAAAAAAAACCAAAAAAAAACATATATATATATATATTTTAGTAGAGACAGGGTTTCACCATGTTGGCCAGGATGGTCTCAATCTCTTGACCTCATGATCCGCCCACCTCAGCCTCCCAAAGTACTGGGATTACAGGTGTGAGCCACTGTGCCTGGCCTGGACTAGACTTTTTTTTTTTTTTTTTCTTTGAGACAGAGTTTCACTCTTGTTACCCAGGCTGGAGTGCAATGGCACGATCTCGGCTCACCGCAACCTCCGCCTCCTGGGTTCAGGCAATTCTCCTGCCTCAGCCTCCTGAGTAGCTGGGATTATAGGCACGTGCCACCATGCCCAGCTAATGTTTTGTATTTTTAGTAGAGACGGGGTTTCACCATGTTGACCAGGATGGTCTCGATCTCTTGACCTCCTGATCCACCCACCTCGGCCTCCCAAAGTGCTGGGATTCCAGGCTTGAGCTACCGCGCCCGGCCTTGGACTAGACTCTTAAACACTGCCAACTCTTCCTGGAAGGCAGAGTGGTTGAAGCCTGGGTGTGGACTTTGTACCTGGCTTCAAGTCCCACTTCTACCACTTTGTAACTGAGGACCTTGGATAAGATTTGTCACCCATTTTATCTTAACCTCCTTGTGTGGACACCAAGGACAATAGTGATACCCATCCCACAAAGGTATGTGAGGCAGCATCAGAAAGGTACTTAGAATGATGCAGGTGAGGCATACCGTAAATTATTAACATTATTAGGACTTGTCAGCAACTCTGGACTCACAGAGCTTGGCAGGGAGGAGCCTGGGCCTTGGAATCAGGCCTGCATTTGCCTGTTTCCTAGCTCCACAGCCTGAGTTTCAGTTTCTAAATCCATAAACTGGCCGGGCATGGTGGCTCATGCCTGTAATCCCAGCACTTTAGGAGGCCGAGCTGGGTGGATCACTTGAGGTCAGGAGTTCAAGACCAGCTTGGCCAACATGGAGAAACCCTGTCTCTACTAAAATTACATAAATTAGCCTGGTGTGGTGATGCATGCCTGCAGTCCCAGCTAGTTGGGAGGCTGAGGCAGGAAAATTGCTTGAACCTGGGAGCCAGAGGCTGCAGTGAACCCAGATGATGCCACTGTACTCCAGCCTGGGCGATAGAGTAAGATTCCGTCTCAAAAAAAAAAAAAATTTTTTTTGTTGGGTACAGTGGCTCACGTCTATAATCCCAGCACTTTGGGAGGCCAGAGTGGGCAGATCACAAGGTCAAGAGATCAAGATCATCCTGGCCAACATGGTGAAACCCTGTCTCTACTAAAAATACAGAAAAATTTTTAAAAAGAACAAAAATTAGCTGAGTGTGGTGGTATGCACCTGTAGTCCCAGCTACTCTGGAGGCTGAGACAGGAGAACCGCTCGAACGTGGGGGACAGAGGTTGCAGTGAGCCGAGATCGAGCCACTGTACTCCAGCCTGGGCGACAGAGCAAGACTCCATCTTTTTTTTTTCTTCATTATTTTTTTGTTTCTTTGTGAGCCCCAGCTGTTGGAAAGACTCCATCTCAAAAAAAAAAAAAAAAAAAAAAATCTATAAACTGGGCACCAGTACCAGTCCCCATCTCCCCGGGTTATAAGGAACAAACGATATAATCCACAGAGCAGGTGAAACACATTGAGTAAGCCGCTGTTATTGACTAATAAGACAGGCTCATGGAACGGGCCAGGCAAGCTCATTAGTTCCTTTGCAAAGTACGAACAGCTGCTCTCTGTTTTATTGATTCCTAAATGCATTTTATTCACATCTTAACACCTCTGAAATCAAGATGAGTCCTGAAATCAATAGCATCTTAACATTTTAGTTTGCAGCAATCTTTCCCTTCATAGTGACACCAAATAAAGGAGCATCGTTTAGATTCAATGAATGCAACTGATTCACTCTACAATGAAATTTATGTATGTGTCATATACACACATACACCAGGTATACCATTGTACCTGAAAGACCACTCTAGACAAGCTATAGAAAGTATAGAGTCATTTTACTTTAATACAAAATCACATAAAGAAAGGCACGTTTGCTAAATCAAATATTCACTAAATACCAGTGAAGTCACCACTGGAATATCAATAGCGTATTTTCCTGCTTTCTTTTCTCCCTTCTGCTAAACATAAAAGACCAGGGTCATCCCTGGGAGCAGATGAGCAGGACATGCGTCTGCCCACTGGAGGGCCTGGGGGCTGACGTGGGAGCAGGAAGTGGCCCCCCCCCGCACATCCTTCTGTATTTCTTGATTTCTGCTTCACTGGCCCAGGCCGAATCTTCAAAGGTGTTCAAGTTCCGCAGCCAGGGAGAAAGTGGTGCCAAGAGAGCCTTGATTCCTTCCTCCTTAGTCTGCTTTGAAGGGGAAATAAATACACAGGCCCAGTGTGTATGTGTGGCATGGAGAGGGCTTTGCAGGTATCTTTCGAGAGTTGTGTCCGAGAGTCAGAGCTATAGCCTTAGGTGTGGCCTTGGGTCTAGGGCTGTTTCCCTGATCGGAAAGAGAACCTGGTATGGAAAGAGAGGGGTCAGGGTAAGCAGAAGGAACAAAGCAAGGGCCGCAGAAACCCCCGCAAAATTTCTAAGTAGATCTTGCAGCTGTTGACTCCAAAATATCTATAGGCCGGGTGTGGTGGGCCTGTCATCCCAGCACTTTGGGAGGCTGAGGCAAGAGGGTGAGGATCACTTGATTCCAGGAGTCTGAGACATGCCTGGGAAGCATAATGATACCCCATCTCTACAAAAACTAAAAAAAAAAAAAAAAAAAAACCCACCAAGTTTACCAAGTGTGGTGGCGTGTGCCAGTAATCCCAGCTACTTAGGAGGCTGAGGCAGGAGAATCGCCAGAAGCTCAGAGGTGAAGGTTGCAGTGAGCTGAGATCGAGCCACTGCAGACCAGCCTGGGCAACAGAGCGAGACTCTGTCTCAGAAAAAAAAAAAAAAGAAAGAAAGAATTCATTCATACAAAAATTAGCTGGGCATGGTGGTACGTGCCTATAATCCCAGCTACTCAGGAAGCTGAGGCAGAAGAATCTCTTGAACCTGGGAGGCAGAGGCTGCAGTGAGCCGAGATCATGCCATTGCACTCCAGCCGGGGCAACAGAGCAAGACCCTGTCTCAAAAAAAAATTCATTCATGCATGCATGCATTCATTCATTCACTCATTCATTTCAGTAGCTCATTAAGTTTATCTGATCCTGAAAGGGTGGACTCATGCTCATGACTCACCACATGTCTTCAGGCTAGCTCATGCACAGAACACACATTTCACTTTTGCCCTATTAGGCTCAAACTCCAATTAGGTGGCCTAAACTCCGGTAGAAGGAGGCTGAAAGAAACCAGTAGTTTACGCCTTCTGAAAGCCTGATTTGCAAGAAGATAGCCAATGAAAGTCCTAAATGAACACCTTCGGATCTGACACCTGGAGAGACGTGCTCTTTCATTATCTTACCTCAGAAGACCCTTCCTTGTGGAAGGAATACTTCCATTAGGCTGGGCGCAGTGGCTTACACCTGTAATCCTAGTGCTTTGGGAGGCCGAGGTGGGCAGATCACTTGAACTCAGGAGTTCCAGACCAGCCTGAGAAACATGGAGAAATCCCATCTCTCCCAAAAATACACAAATTAACAGGGTGTGGCGGCTCACACCTGTGGTTCCATCTACTTGGGAGGCTGAGATGGGAGAATAGCTTGAATTTGGGAGACAGAGGTTGCAGTGGGCCGAGACCAAGCTACCGGACTGCAGCCTGGGTGACAGAGTGAAACCCCATCTCAAAAAATAAAAAAAAGAAACAATCCCATTGGCCTTGTTTTGACCCTGTCTCCCAACCCTTCTCCACAAAGCAACCAGAGTGAGCTTTTCATATGTAAATACAGTCATGTTACTCTCCAGCTTAAAACTATCCAAACTCTTCCCAACGCACCTAGAATAAAACCCACAGTCCGCACCAGAATCCACGTGGCCCTGGGTGACCCAGCCCCTCCCACCTCTCCATCTCACCTCCATTCTCTTCCCTGTTTCAGTCACCATGATATTTTGTTCTGGAAATTTCTGTAGCCTGAGGCTCTTACTCTTACTGTTCTAGCTGCCAGGAATGCTCTTTTTTTTTAGTGGGAGATGGAATCTTGCTCCATCATCCAGGCTGGAGTGTCGTGGTAGGTAGATCATGGCTTACTGTAGCCTGGACCTCTTGGGCTCAAGAGATCCTCCCAAGTGGCTGGAACTACAGAAACATGCCCGGCTAATTTTGTTTATTTTTTACTTTTGAGGGTATCAGGCGTCCCCCAAACTACAGCCCTCTGGCCGCATGCGGCCCCCTGAGGCCATTTATCCGGCCCCCTGCCACACTTCAGGAAGGGGCACCTCTTTCATCGGTGGTCAGTGAGAGGAGCACAGTATGTGGCGGCCCTCCAACGGTCTGAGGGACAGTGAACTGGCCCCCTGTGTAAAAAGTCTGGGGACGCCTGGCGTAGATCCTCAATAAATATTTGTTGAATGAATGGGGCACAGGAAAGCCATATCTTATTGTCCTGACACCTGGCAACTAAGAGGGCACATATCAGTGTGGTCCAGGGGTTCCCCAAATCAGAATTGCCCAAAGAACTTGTGAAAAAAAACTCCAGATTTCGGAGCTGCATCCAAGAACCACTGACTTGATTTCTTGGAATGTGAATTTTCCACAAGCACTTCACTCTCGGTTTACCAGGCAGCATCTGAAGAACTGAGGGATCAACCCTGGTGCCCAGACATGAGGGAAAGTATTCAAAGGAAACCACGTAGCATGTCCCAGTGCTGCGACATGGGCTGAGTCAAGAGGAGTGGTCCCACACGGGGCAGGTAGAGGGTCTCAGGCATTTCCCACAGGCAGGCTGAAACTGCCTGTTGTTCCAATTCTTTCTCGTTAGGAAGAGGATGCTGACTGTTGCTTTTCTTTTTGTTTTTTTTTGAGATGGAGTCTTGCTCTGTCAACCAGGCTGGAGAGTAGCGGCATGATCTCGGCTCACTGCAACCTCTGTCTCCCAGGTTCAAGAGATTATCCCGCCTCAATCAGCCTGGCTAATTTTGTATTTATTTATTTATTAAAAATTTATTTATGGCCAGGCGCGATGGCTCATGCCTGTAATCCCAGGACTTTGGGAGGCCGAGGCGGGCGGATCACGAGGTCAAGAGATCGAGACCATCCTGGCCAACGTGGTGAAACCCTGTCTCTACTAAAAATACAAAAATTAACTGGGGGGCGGGGTGTGGTATGTGCCTGTAGTCTCAGCTACTCAGGAGGCTGAGGCAGGAGAAATGTCTGAACCCGGGAGGCGGAGGTTGCAGTGAGCCAAGATCGCACCACTGCACTCCAGCCTGGTGACAGAGTGAGACTCTGTCATAAACAATTTATTTATTTATTTATTTATTTATTTATTTATTTATTTATTTGGAGATGGAGTCTCACTCTGTCACCAGGCTGGAGTGCAGTAGTGTGATCTCGGCTCACTGCAACCTCCGCCTCCCGGGTTCAAGCGATTCTTCTGCCTCAGCCTCCTGGGTAGCTGAGATTACAGGCATGCGCCACCACACCTGGCTAATTTTTGTAGTTTTGGTAGAGACGAGGTTTTGCCATGTTGCCAGGCTGGTCTCGAATTCCTGACCTCAGGTGATCTGGCCGCCTCAGCCTCCCAAAGTGCTGGGATTACAAGCTTGAGCCACTGCACCCCATCGTTATTATCATTTTAGTTTTCTTTCTTTTTTCAGAGATAGGGTCACACTGCTATCCAGGCTGGAGTGCAGTGGTGTAATAATAGCTTACTGCAGCCTTGAACTCCTCGGCTTAAGTGATCCTCCTGTCTCATCCTCCTGAGTAGCTGGGACCACAGGTGCAGGTCACAATGCCCAGCTAATTTTATTTGATCTCAGCCGAAAGGCTGATAAATGATATTAGCTAATTTAAAAACATTTTTTTGGGCTGGGCACGGTGGCTCACGCCTGTAATCTCAGCACTTTGGGAGGCCGAGGAGGGTAGATCACGAGGTCAGGAGATGGAGACCATCCTGGTGAAATCCTGCCTCTACTAACAATACAAAAATTATCTGGGTGTGGTGGCACGCACCTGTAGTCTCAGCTACTTGGGAGGCTGAGGCAGGAGAATTGCTTGAACCCAGGAGGCGGAGATTGCAGTGAGCCAAGATTGTGCCACTGCACTTCAGCCTGGCGACAGAGTGAGACTCCATCTCAAAAAAAAAAAAATGTTGGCCGGGCGTGATGGCTCAAGCCTGTAATCCCAGCACTTTGGGAGGCCAAGGCGGGTGGATCACGAGGTCAAGAGATCGAGACCATCCTGGTCAACATGGTGAAACCCCGTCTCTACTAAAAAAAATACAAAAAATTGGCTGGGCATGGTGGTGTGTGCCTGTAATCCCAGCTACTCAGGAGGCTGAGGCAGGAGAATTGTGTGAACCCAGGAGGTGGAGGTTGCGGTGAGCCAAGATCGTGCCATTGCACTCCAGCCTGGGTAACAAGAGCGAAACTCTGTCTCAAAAAAAAAAAAAAAATTTTTTTTTTTGTTCCTGTGGGGTCTCACTTTGTAGCCCAGGCTTGTCTCAAACTCCTGGCTTCAAGCAATCCTCCTGCCCTAGCTTCCTGTAATCTCTGTTGCAATTACAGGTGTGAGCCACTGTACCCAGCCTGGTCATTGTTATTATATCACAGGGAGGCAGCAGAGTGTAGAAGCCAGACTTCCTTGGGTTCCTGACTTCACTATCTACCATCTGCACCCTTGGGCAAATTACCTTACCTCTCAGTATCTATATCTCCATCAGTAAAATAGCATCTACTTTGCAGGTTCACTGTGATAATTCGATGAATTCATATATGTCAAGTGTCTAAGCTACTGCCTGGCAGATATCATTATAGTACACTGGCGTTGAGTTTGCCCATGAGCTGCAGCACAGCCGGGAGAGGGGAGAGCCTCCCTGCCCTGGGCAGCTGGACAGGCTCCTCTCGCCCCAACCACTTCCTTGAATTATTATTTAGTGGGACCAGGGGGGCAGCAGGGTGACACTTACAGTTTCTTTATGATCGTCTTCTCCTCCTTGCTCTTGCTGGTATTGTTGGCCCTGGTAACCACAGCATCTTTTTCTGTTCTTCCTCCTGGGCCTTCTCTTGGTGAAATCAGGCCACTTGAGAAACGGGGCAAAAATTAAATGGGTTATTTTATTACAGACCTTTTTTTTTTTTTTTTGAATTGGAGTCTTGCTCTGTTGCTCAGTCTGGAATGCAGTGGCACAATCTTGGCTCACTCAATTTCCACTTCCCAGGTTCAAACAATTCTCCTGCCTCGGCCTCCTGAATAGCTGGGACTACAGGTGCCCGCCACCATGCCTGGCTAATCTTTGTATTTTTAGTAGAAATGGGGTTTCACCACGTTGGCCAGGCTAGTCTCAAACTCCTGACCTCAAGTGATCCATCTACCTCAGGCTCCCAAAGTGCTGGGATTATAGGTGTGAGCCACTGCACCTGGCCTTTATTACAGACCTTTTATCTGTGCAGCTCTGAAAATAAAGGATCTTAATGATGATGATTATCCTTATAGTAATAATATTATGGTTGAAAGCACTAAAGTTAGAGAAATTCTGTTTCAAATGAGAATCTTCCCTCTACCTTTCCAACGTGATACCTCTTATTTCTTTCTCTTACCTAATTGCATAGGCTACTACTTTAAGCTTCTTAACCTTCTCAACCTTCTAGGAATATGACTGTGTATAAATTCTCTAACTTAAGCCTTGGTTTCCTAACCTGTAAAATGAGTCTAATAATAGTACCTACCTCAAAGGATTGAGAGATTATGTAAGATAATACATAGTGCCTAACATTCAACAAATATTTATTAAGCTACCTGCTGTGGTTAATAAATATTTTGTCTCTGAACTGTTTTGTCTCTGAATAAAACAAAAATAATATCTTCTCTCATGTAATTTATATTTCAGTGGGGGAAGGAAACAGTCAATAAATAAGGCAATAAGTAAAATAAAAGTATAAATCATAAGTCAGATGGTGCTAAGAGCTAGATTTATATTGATTGATATTACAGTCAGATAATATTGAGATCTGGCTCAAGGAGGGCCAGAGTATTTCCCTGGACTTGATGTAGAGAATTTATAAAAAGTATGGTTTCTCATACTCCACTGGAATTGCCAGAAGTCTGTTTTCTAAGAGTTAGAGAAAGCCTGTCTGTAATGCAGACTAATGAGCACATGAGCCAAGAAAGCCAAGGAGGAGAAAGAGAGGCACCATGTCCCTGATTCCAACCACTGGAAATTTCTTTCTTTTTTATTTATTTATTTATTTTTGAGATGGATTCTGGCTCTGTTGCCCAGGCTAGAGTGCACTGGCATGATCTTGGCTCACTGTAGCCTCCACCTCCTGGGTTCAAGCAATTCTCCTGCCTCAGCCTCCCAAGTAGCTGGGATTACAGGCCTGTGCCACCATGCCCAGCTAATTTTTGTATTTTTAGTAGAGACAGGGTTTCACTGTGTTGGCCAGGCTGGTCTATTTCCTTTTTTTTTTTTTTTTTTTTTCTGAGACGGGAGTTTCGCTCTTGTTACCCAGGCTGGAGTGCAATGGCACGATCTCGGCTCACCGCAACCTCCGCCTCCTGGGTTCAGGCAATTCTCCTGCCTCAGCCTCCTGAGTAGCTGGGATTACAGGCACGCGCCACCACGCCAAGCTAATTTTTTGTATTTTTAGTAGAGACGGGGTTTCACCATGTTGACCAGGATGGTCTTGATCTCTTGACCTCGTGATCCACCCGCCTCGGCCTCCCAAAGTGCTGGGATTACAGGCTTGAGCCACCGCACCCGGCCTTTTTTTTTTTTTTTTTTTTGAGAGGGAGTCATACTCTGTCCGCCATGCTGGAGTGCAGTGGCCCCACCCCAGCTCACTGCAACCTCTGCCTCCCAGACTCAAGCGATTCTCATGTCTCAGCCTCCCAAGTAGCTGAGATTACAGGCACCTGCCACCATGTCTTGCTAATTTTTGTATTTTTAGTAGAGACAGTGTTTCAACATGTTGGCCAGGCTGGTCTTAAACTCCTCACCTCAAGCGATCTGCCTGCCTCAGCTTCCCAAAGTGCTGAGGCACTGTTTCTGGCCTTCCTTTTTTTTCTGAGATAGGCTCTTACTGTCACTCAGTTTGTAGTGCAGTGGCATGATCATAGCTCACTGTAACTGAATTCCTGGGCTCCAGTGATCCTCCCACCTCAGTCTCCCAAGTGGCTAAGATCATAGGCATGTGCCATCACGCCAGCTAATTGTAAAGACGGGGTCTCACTATGTTGCCTAGGCTGGTCTCGAATTTTTGGCCTCAAGTGATCCTCCCACCTTGGCCTCCCCAAAGTGCTGAGATTACAGGCTTGAGCCAGCCATTGCACCCAGCCCCTCCCCAATGATGTTACCAAAAAGTTTCCTTTTACGGCCGGGCGCGGTGGCTCAAGCCTGTAATCCCAGCACTTTGGGAGGCCGAGGCGGGTGGATCACGAGGTCGAGAGATCGAGACCATCCTGGTCAACATGGTGAAACCCCGTCTCTACTAAAAATACAAAAAATTAGCTGGGCGTGGTGGCACGTGCCTGTAATCCCAGCTACTCAAGAGGCTGAGGCAGGAGAATTGCCTGAACCCAGGAGGCGGAGGTTGCGGTGAGCCAAGATTGCGCCATTGCACTCCAGCCTGGGTAACAAGAGCGAAACTGCGTCTCAAAAAAAAAAAAAAAAAAGTTTCCTTTTGTGTTTAAGCTAGTTTAAGTTGGACTTTTGTCACTTGCAACCATAAGAAGCCTGATCAAAATGAAATATTTCAATTATGGCACAGAACAACTCATTACATCCACTTAGGTGTTCTGTTGCAGTGCCCACTGGTTAATTAAACCCTGTGGTGTCCCCCTGCTGTGGACTGAATTGTGTGTCTTTACTTATTTATTTATTTATTTTTGAGATGGACTCTCGCTTTATTGCCGGGCTGGGGTGCAGTGGTGTGATCTCAGCTCAGCTGCAACCTCTGCCTCCCGGGTTCAAGTGATTCTCCTGCTTCAGCCTCTCGAGTAGCTGGGACTGCAGTGCACCACCATGCCCACTTCATTTTTTTTTTTTTTTTTTTTTAAGAGATGGAGTCTCGCTCTGTCGCCCAAGCTGGAGTGCAGTGGTGCGATCCTGGCTCACTACAATCGCCGCTTCCTGGGTTCTAGCAATTCTCCTTCCTCAGCCTCCCGAGTAGCTGGGATTACAGGAGCACGCTGCCACGCCCCGCTAATGTTTTGTATTTTTAGTAGACAGGGTTTCACCATGTTGCCCAGGCTGCTCTCAAACTCCTGAGCTCAGGCAATCCACCTGCCTCGGCCTCTCAAAGTACTAGGATTACAGGCGTGAGCCACCGCGCCTGGCTTTGTTGCATTTTTTAAATAGAGATGGGGTTTCACCATGTTGGCCATGATCTGTCCATCCTGGTCTCACACAGTGCTTATTATTTTTTTTTTTTGAGACAGAGTTTCACTCTTGTTGCCCAGGCTGGAGTGCTATGTCATGATCTTGGCTCATTGCAACCTCCACCTCCCGGGTTCAAGCAATTCTCCGGCCTCAGCCTCCTGAGTAGCTGGGATTACAGGTGCCTGTCATCACACCAGCTAACTTTTCTTATTTTAGTAGAGATAGTCTTGAACCATCTCATATTGGCCAGGCTGGTCTTGAACTCCTGAGAGTGTGTGGCATGAGCCACCTCACCTGGCCGAATTGTGTATCTTTAATACAAATTCCTGGCCGGGCTCAGTGGCTCACCATCTATTTTGTGGTAACCCGAGCTGACAAAGATACCTTTTTTTTTTTTCTTTTGAGACGGAGTTTTGCTCTTGTTACCCAGGCTGGAGTGCAATGGCGCGATCTCGGCTCACCGCAACCTCCGCCTCCTGGGTTCAGGCAATTCTCCTGCCTCAGCCTCTTGAGTAGCTGGGATTACAGGCATGCGCCACCATGCCCAGCTAATTTTTTGTATTTTTAGTAGAGACGGGGTTTCACCATATTGACCAGGATGGTCTCGATCTCTTGACCTCGTGATCCACCCGCCTCGGCCTCCCAAAGTGCTGGGATTACAGGCTTGAGCCACCGCGCCCGGCTAAAGATACCTTTTTCAGCGTGAGTGTAAAAGGACAGGATTCATACTTTCCCTCCTTCATAAAATAATATTGCAAAGAGTGGGTCTTTATTATTTAATATATATATATATATTTTTTGAGACGGAGTCTCACTCTGTCGCCTAGGCTGGAGTGCAGTGGCACTCAGCCATAATCACAAATTATTACCAGTACCTTATCCATATGAGTTTGGACCTTCAAATGGATGCAGTTGCTATGAGAACATCTCAGTTGGCATGCTGGCTTCTCCAGAATATATAACACTAGAGATGAAGCAGAATCCTGCCTCCCTTGGCCTGTGCCAGATGGAAAGTGTGCGTCTCTTGTTCTCTGAGGATTCAAAACTAGAAATGAAGTGTGTGGTTTTGCCCACTAACAAGCTGCTCACGACACTCGAAGCTTGGCAGTTTCTCTTTTTAACTACCTGTGCCTGAACCTGTTATTAAATGAGACGAAGACGGGTCTTTCCATGAACACTGTTCCAGCCTCAGCGAAAGAGAGACAATAAATTTGGCTTCTTACAACGCTTCTGCTGCATTGCTGCTCTCTTAAACATGCTACATTCAAGGAATTTAAAGAATCCTATCACTTGGGCTTTGTTTCATTTTTGATCAGGGTACGTCCTTGATTCCAAGCTTTCATGATCTAAACGTGGCATGCTAATTAAAAGCACAGGCCTGGCCGGGCCCAGTGGCTCATGCCTGTAATCCCAGCACTTTGGGAGGCTGAGGTGGGTGGATCACGAGGTCAGGAGTTCGAGACCAGCCTGGCCAACATGGTGAAACCCCATCTCTACAAAATATACAAAAATTAGCTGGGTGTGGTGGCATATGCCTGTAATCCCAGCTACTTGGGAGGCAGAGCAAGGAGGATCGCTTGAACCCAGGAGGCAGAGGTTGCAGTGCGCTGGGATCGTGCCACTGCACTCCGGCCTGGGCAACAGAACAACACTGTCTCAAGAAAAAAAAAAGCAGCACAGGCTCTGATGTCACACTGTCTGAG